CTCTACAACATATTGCATGACTTGTACTCGCAATTCTTCATTATATCAAAATTATATGATAATTTCATCTTCATTCTTTATCCTCTTCATATATCATAATATCTCATACACATCATACACTTGATCATAATAATTCAATAAGATTTCAATTCGCATAAACAATAATACATAGCATTAAAGCTCATACCGCAAGATTAAAAACAATTTCAATATTCACACAACATACTCAATTTGACCAATCAAGTATCCGTTTAATAATTGTAAATACATCAAATTAACATGCAAATATATATAGGGAAACCATGGTTCGAACCCTTATGCCCGGGCCACGAAAGGGCCTTTTGAGGACTTAATTTTGTCCCATTGTCTACGGCACGGGTGATAATAATAACTCAAGGAGATCAATCCAATGGGAAGCAAATAATTACATTTATTTCACTTAATGGGGATCAAATCATGAGAGAAACATGTATCAAAATAACCCTTCAAAGTTTGACAGAGATATTACACAAAAAAAGGAAGTTATGGTGAAATTACACCATGTGGTCCATAAGGGACAACACGAACTTTTCAACATTAAAAAGGGAACTCAATGGACTATTTCTTTTGCTCAAATATGATGAAATAAACATTTCTTCAGTTGTATATTCTCAATAAAAATTTCAGAAAAATAAGATCAAGAAATCAAGTTGAAACTAGTCAAGATCATGGAGTAAGCAAGCTAGTCTACACATCTTATGTGAATGGACTACACTATTGCTTTGGGACTCTTCAAATATCAAGTTTTCATGACCAAAAATAAAAAAAGCTACTGTAAATTAAGAATTACAGCAAGCTTTTATAATGAAAATGAGGTAGGAATTAAAAATATCAGAAAAAAAATCTATACCTTAATGAAGCAATGGTATGGGCTTGATCACATAAATGATGAACTATTCCATGGAAGGGTTTCAAATGAAAGCTCAAGGAAGAAGATAGTCTCATGAGTGACCACATTTTTGTCAAGGGCTCTCTCTCTCTCTCTCTCTCTCTCTCTCTTTGAAGTGAATACTCAAGTTGTGGTAATAATTGATCCCATAAGTTACTTTTATACTTAGATCATAAAGATGGATTTGATCTTGATCCTTGATGTCTTAGATCAATAACACATGAGAGGCTTTTATCCAAGCCACTCATCCATATTTTATCACCAAGATCAATGGATAAGTTTTTGATACCTTTCACTTCTCAAAACCTAGGTTTATAGTCATTTTACCTCGAAGCCCTTAGCTCCATGTTTATTTCTCATTAAGTCCAAATTAATGTTTACACTTATGCTCATGGTTTTTAAATAATTTGGGAGAGTCAATAAAATACAAGGACATGGACATAAATGTAATATGGGACATCCACACATGTGAATAAAATATCTTATGACACTATCAATAGAATTTAACAACACTAAAGTTTCACATGGGTCAAGCACATAAGGTGGTGCCACATAAGACATACTCACATGCTACAAAATCATATGTGGATTATAATATGAATTAAATTAATTCTCAAAATCTCATGACTTCACATATGCCAAAAATGACACATATGAGCTAAAATAAAACTTTTGACTTAAATCAAACTTAAGTCATAACAATATATAACCCTTTAAATAACAAGATAACATGTTATAACATAATACCAACAAAAGAATTAACGATAAATAGGTCCCCACATGGATATTACATCAACATGATGTCATCCAATGGTGGGAAGGTGGGGGTACCACATGGCATCCCTATGGCTACTTGAGATCCATGTGGCATCCCCATAGGATGTCTTTATTTGGTATTTATGTCAAAAAAATTTAAAAATCATATTTTTTATTGTTTAAAATATCTGAAAAATTCTCCGAAAATCTCAAAAATTCTCTAAATGATTTCTCAACATTATTACATAATTTCTCATAAGTATAAAATTTTTTCTCGTCAATTTTAGATTAATTTGGGCCAACGGTAAATGAGATCTCTAGACTTATAATACTAGTCGGAGTCTTCCATTGGGCTAACCCAAATGACGTTCCACCGGTGTCTCAAGCCAACCCAATGGATCTATGCTCCACAATCTATGGTAGGGACACATTATTTCTCACATCAAAGTCACTGAGCCAGAGCTTCCCGTCATCGGGGGTTCAATGGATTACTGGTGCACCCCTGTGAGACATGTTCCTACTCAAATGCAGGGGTCCTCTCAAAGCACATATGCACTAGCTCTTCTAAGTTGGATAATACTATAGAAGAATGGCTTTCTCATACGACTGTGGGTGCACATGCCATGGAACGGTCTCGTGTCAGGATACGGGCTCATGTCCCATGAGCCGACCATTCCATACAGGGCGAATACTCTTTTAAATACTCGGGTTTTATTATTCTCGATTGGATTCTCCAAGCCCTGGCTTATCACATCAACTATGAGGCATTCTAATCAATATAGTCTTGACTGGGAGGCGATCCTCACACCTCCCAGAGAGTTCACACTCTCAAAATGTATACTCTCAATGTTTCAAATACTCGGAGTATATGAATCTGGGCCCCAGTGCACCAAGCACCCAAATTCAGTATCTCTCTAACTCCCACTGAGCGTAAGACTATTGGCTTTAAGGTCTTGAAAGGTCACATGGCCAACAATTATCATCATCTCTCTTTTTGAGTTGCTAATACCTTCCAACATAAATATCTAGTTTAAGAAGAATGGGCTCCATGACAGCAACAATTACAATGCATAAAGGGCTAAATGCAGATGCAAAGATGGGACCCTTCTTCTTGATGCTGCAACTTTGAATAAATAATGAAAAAGTAGAGGATATGATACCCTGGAGAAGTAATTGAAGAGTATTTGCCATGAAAAGCCACTTGTTCCGAACCCCAACATGAAAAGCCACTTATTCCGAACCCCAACTGAATTCCCACTCTTTCATTTTCAAATTCAAATAGCGATGCACAAATTACATAACCAAAAAAAAGGTATGAAAGAGAGAGAGAAGTCCACTTAATTAAAAGAGTAGCTTAATAATCTGTGCCTTTGTAACTCAAAACCATTGACCTTTGCAGTCGTGCAAAGAGTGGAAAATAATCTTGTGAATTAATCTTGTGAATTCTTACACTGTAAGCATAAAGTGACGAGCTTAAAATCGAGTTGTAATCTCCAAGCATGAGACCTGTCAAATATAACAACAATAATGTCAGTCTGAATGGTACCCACAAATAGAATCATCACGGTCAAGGATAAAGGAGCTGGGTAAACCTTGAAAGCCCATGTCTGAATCAAAAGAGGGAAAAGTTGAATGTAGTGACAAATAAGGAAATAAGCAGAGTACGAGAAAGATGAAACTGAATAAATGCCCTCCAACCTGATAGATCAACCATACCAAATAACCAACATCACTTAGTACAAGAAAAATAAGTCCCAAAGTCCAGTTACTTTTTGAGACAACAGAGGAATTAGGAAATAAGATATCATAGAGAAATTTTGGTGTTTTGAGGTGTTTAACGAAGTCAATGGAAGGGCCTTTGATGAATCTCAAAACCACAGCACCTCCAAGGCAAACAACAGTTCCCAATTTCCTAGCTATGTTCCTTATGCTCTTTACATTTACCTTCTCTAATCTGGAAGAAGGAAAAACAGTTAACATGGTTTTTAACAATTGAAAGAGGATAAAAGCCTAAGACTTTTAATCTCCTCAGATGTTAAACCATACAATTACACTTTTTTTAGCAAGATAAGGTATTACCGTAGGGAGAAGGCCAATATAAGTGTAATACCATGAAAGAAAGACAAATGTGATCTTACCGGGGAATATATTTTTTTATTTTTCTTCATTTTACCCCTTTTTCTTTTCTTTTGGTGAAGATCACTTACAAGTAGTCTTATTACAATAACTCTTACTTCAAAGAAAATAAAACTAGTAAATCTATCATCTTAAAAACCTTGATGCCACTAAACCAAATTTTTTTAAATAAAAAAAAATCTACAATTCTTATGTTTGGGAATATAAATACACTATAGTTAATTATGACGACAAACAAAAAGAGGGTGTCAGAGATTATCTCAACCATGCTTATTACACCTGATACTGAGTCACCACCATCCGCTGACACGAGATCAATAATCAACCTTGACTCTCAACTGGGAAAACAAGTTTAGGCCCAACCCTCTAATGGCACTATGAACTCCTTTATCACAAAAACAACTTAATTTGAGAGATATGCTACTCTTTTCTACCACAACCCTATAGTCTAAAACCACAATGAAAGATGAGAGATCTTGAGAGAGTTAAGAGAACTACCATGAGAGAGATATCAAAGATAAGAGTGGGGTGTACCCCTTTGGGTCTCTTGAGAGATAGAGAGAAACTTTCTTAAGAGAGAGAGAGAGAGAGAGAGAGAGAGAGAGAGAGAAACTTTCTTAAGAGAGAGATATATATTCTAAGTGGGACGTGCCCCCTTTACTGGGATATGAGAGAGAGCTGGGAGTTAGATGTAAGAAATAAGGTGTAGAGATTTGGGTAGGGATCAATCTATTTTTTATAGTGCATGAACAAGATTAGGGTTTCTTAGGATTTTACTACAAAATGTTTTATTACAATGTTTTATGACAATGTTTTATTAAAATGTTCATGTTTGACTATATCAAAATGGTTTTTTATAAGCACTCATGAGGCCTTTAAAGGTCACACTCACACAATATCTCCCATTTGCCCTTTGAAGTCCCTACATTCTATCTTCCTCATTTTATCTCATCTCCATCTCTCTCACATGTCTTACAAAAACAATAGGGGCAACGTCCTTTATCAAAGGATCTACAATTATTAGATATGTGAATATATAGCTAATCTCAATCTTTCTCAATCTCACCTCATTCCTCAGGTGACAGAAACATGATCTTATATGCTTGGAGTTTTTATGGAATCGTGGCTTATTTGACACACATATCGTCGTCGTGTTGTTACAAAAACACCTTACTGCTTCACAATGTACGGGGTGAAAATCAAGTCGATTAAGAAACTTCTTAATTGCCTCATTGGCCGCCAAACAATACGCCACGTACTCTACTTCCATGATGGACAATGCCACCACATATTTCTTTGTTTTCCAAGAAACAGTACCCCCTCCAAGCATGAACATATATCCAGATGTAGACTTCGCATCATCTGGATCCGTGCGATAACTTGCATCTGTATATCTGAATATCCTAGTAGCTAAAAAAAACATGGGACTGTAGCAGCTCCCACTCAATTATTGCACATACAACATATATATTCTTAGCATTCTTATGCAATAAGTTATTCAATACCCATTAGTTTCACAATATGCAAAACATTCCTGAATCCCAAAGGTCCAACCACACTAGTCATCTTGGTAGTAAATCCATACAAACCAAGTTATCTAATCAACAGAACATGTGTTAAAGAAGCCTAGCAAGATGGTCTTCTTACAACATTCCCTATGGTTCAAGGTTTTAGGTAATCGATGATGCTAAATAACTAGAAACATGGGTCAAGGCATATGGGTATTTAAAAGCCAGTGCATGACAGTTTTTCTCCCAATTTCATAAATACCTTCAAGACACAATGTTTTTCTCTTTAATAAAAAAAACTATTGACCAGGTATATATACATTCACAAGCAATAGTTAGTAATAGTATGACAGTTTAGAATGATTTTGCATAAAGACTTAGTGGACCTTGCAAGACTATGTGGTTTTCTCAAAACCATATTCATAGACTTAGGTTTTTATCAAATAATCCAATTTAATTTTAAAATACATGCTTAACCTTCATAAATCATTTTACCACATTCACCTTTAATTTCTTATCAAGTCAAGTTCATGGCTACAAAAAAAAATCATAAATATCATCTAATAATTTTATCCAAAATAAAACCTGACTAAATAATGATTATCAAAATCTTGACAAAATACTTCATTTTGGCAAATATGGAGATTTTATCAAGAGATGATCATCACATGCAACACATCAGATTACTTAACATTAGTGGGAGGATGATCACTAAGACCAAGTTCCATCAGAACACTCCTTTCGTGCTTTACATATTTGAATGGTCACGCCCATCCCTTGTGTTTTACTCTTAGGGCTCAAAAGCCCTTGATCAAATCACATCTCCATGTGCATCACTACCTTAAATAGTTTATACTCTAACACAAGGAGGCATTAAAACATAAGGTATTAAAAAATCGGCTCTTTTAAATTTGTTAGCACTTATCACTTAATGTCCGTACATTTCATACATATTCATAAAACAATTAGCCAAAATATAACCAAAGCATATTAAACATAAAATAAAAATTTATTGAATCCTCTTTCCCTATATGACCTTACCAAGTAATGTAGGATGGATTTTATACCTCAAAATTATGTAGTGTGGTACCCGAGTTTTTCTTGATTCATTGCTTTTACTTGTTTGACAAGCTTTTATGATCTTAGAAGAGAACACAATTGATGGAGATTATATTGGTCATCGGTTTCACATGTCACGAAGTGTCCATCTCTTCAGCACTTGGATTCTCCTTGCCTCACACTGTGAAGAAATACTCTTCTTCATCTCATGATTTTAAATATCATAAATTTAATTTTCCTATTAATCTTTGGCATTTATTTGCTACCACCAAGTCTCTCTAAATATCATTTCATTTCGAAGAAACCAATATGTTTTTATAGGGATTGGGTTTCTTCTTCTTTTTGCTATTCCTAAATCAAATACTTTTCTTATAGAGTATCATATCGCGCCAACTCCGTATTACATCTCTCTGAAGTTTTACTATAATAAACAATACTCATGGGACACTATATACAAAAATAAAAAAATAAATTAAATGATCCTTAAAAATGTCTTTATAATTAGGAATTATGTGTATTAACATGTCACATCTTTTAATTTACTGTAGAATAGAACATGAACATCCCATGATAAAAATATGATATCTCTCAACTCATTAAGAGTCTATCTTCGAATCATTTTGAGTATTGAAATAGACTAAGAAATATAAAATAGTGCTCAGTTACATCACTAAATCACATCATTTAGTGAGTCTACATTTTAGTGACAGTTACATCACTAAATCACATCATTTAGTGAGTCTACATTTTAGTGACAGTTACGTCACAATACAAATGTTCTTAGCAGAAAATTAGGTTGAGCACATCTCAATAAAAAAAATTATTTCTCTCAATCCTCAAAGATTTTCTTCCTAAAATATATTGTGTTGAAAACTAGACTCAAAACCAAGTCATAACATCATGGTGTGAAACCCGAATAGTATTTTTCTTCAAATAAATAAATAAGTGATATTCATATCACAAAATATATTATATTACAGAAGTTCAGGTAGAACATTGTCTAGTAAAATTGTATTTTCTCTCTACCTCATGGATTTTTCCTTTCAAATCAATTTTATTTGAAAGTAGATACAGGATGTTAACTTATATTTTCTCAAGCCTCATATCATTGAGTTAAATAGGCTTTGAAAAATATAGTTATTCATATGTCAATGAAGAACGCACCAAATTGCAGAAAATTCAGGATGACCTCTCTTCATTCCAAAATTTGTATTCCTTTCTTTTCATATATATTTCTTTCTCAAATAAATTTTATTAAAAACTAGCCTTAGAATGGAGGCCTAAAAACTTAGTGTGGGTCATAAAAACATTATGTTAAGAATTGAAATAAAATCATGACTTCTAAGTTATTAAAATAGTTTTTGTTTCAAAAAACAACACTTGCGCATCCTTCAATAAATAGACCATATCTTTCAAACCACAAGGAATTTTTTGATGAAACTATTTTTTTTTTTTAAAGTAGACTCAATTTGATGAGTAACAGTTAAATTTCAACTTGAAATAAAATAATATAGTTGGTGGAAAAAATAATAGGACTCAATGGACAGTTCTTAGATTTTACAAGGTTAGAAATGACATCATTCATTGATGAGTCCATAACTCTAAATTCCTTTAGGATCTCCCACTTAAATTGCAGGTAGATCCTACTTTAAAACACACACAATGTTATTGAGTATGAAATAGAAAATAACTCATTATCTTTTTTATATCACTGCTCCAAAATAACATAGAATACTGATTTTGCAAAGTGCACTTTTCGGTGTTTGAATATTTCCATAATTCTTTAACCGAAGTGTATATTTTTACCACAAAAGTCATTAGCTTTCTTATATCTCATTCACAAGCTTGATCTAGACTCAATAAGGAGAAAAAACCACTAAGGACATCAAGTATCAATAACTCTAATACCAATAAAAGAAAGACTAATGTGATCTTGCAGGGAAATTTTTTTTTTATATTTTTTTTCTTTTCACCCTTTTTTCGTTTCTTTTGGCAAGGATTACTTAGAAGTAGTCTTATTTCAATAACTCTTGCTTTAAAGAAAATAAAGCTAGAAAATTTAGTATCTTAAAGACCTTGATGCCAGTAAACCAATTTTTTTTAAACAACGAAAATATCAACAAGTCTTATGCTCTGGAATATAAAGACAATATAATTAAATATGGCAAGAAGCAAAAAGAGAGAGTTAGAGATTACCTCAATCGGGCTTATTACACCTCACACCAAGTCACCATCATTTGATGGTGTGGGATCAACGATTAACCTTCAATCTCAATCAGGAAAGCAAGTTTAGGCCAAACCCTCTAATGGAACTATGAATTCCTTTATTACAAATCTCAAATCCTTAGGTGAATCTCCTTAGCAACCTAGTTTGAGAGATGCTTCTCTTTTCTACCACAACCTTATAGTATAAAACCTCAATGAGAGATAAGAGATCATGAGAGAGTTGAGAGAACCATTACTAGAGAGTTATCAATGATGAGATAGTAGGGTGTGCCCCCTTGGGTCTCTTGAGAGATAGAGATAAACTTTCTTAACAGAGAGAGATATTCTAAGTGGGGTGTGCCCCCTTTATGCGATATGAGAGAGATATGAGAGTTAGGTGTAAGAGATAAGGTATAGATATTTGGGTAGGGATCAATCCATTTTTTATAGTGCTTGAACAAGATTAGGGTTTTCCTTGGCTTGCCTCTTCTTGTGAAATTGAATATAAACCATTGATCTTATGTGACTTGTGGGGTGAGAGATTTGAACTCTCCATTTTATAGATGTGCCATCAACATTATGGAAGATGTTAGAACCTTTATCCCCCATTCTTAAATCATTTTTCCATCAATAGAAATTAAATAAAATAATTATATTCATATTATTGCGCTTACCAAATTTATGCGTAAGCCTTCTCATGCTTTCTAAAAATCCATTCAAAGCTTCCTCAAGGAAAAGGCTTTCCAAAACATCACAAACCTTAGACTGAGGCATGCTACCCTAGGTGGCACTCATGGGCCCCACCTACATTGCAATGGTGGTCCCATATGCTTATTGGGCCTCCCATACAAAAATAAATTAATTAAAAATTATATGATTTTTAAAAATTCATAAAATCCAATACGAATAATTAAATCAATCTAAAATCAATATCTTTGAATTTTATAAATCCAAATTTGATCAATAAAATATCAAGAGATCTAACAAAATTCAAATAATAATTCTAAAAATCATATATCATTAAGACAAACATAATTTAATTCATTAAATGAGAAAAGAATCCATATGGTCTAATTAAATGAATAAACGAGGGGCACTAACTGTAGACTACGATCCACATTTGCTTTATCAAACCGACCTAGTGTTTCCCATGAACTACTATCCATGCAGGGGCTCATTAGTGATCACCAAAGTCTAGCCGATGAGCCAAAGGGTCGTAATCTCAGTTTGTGGATTTCAAGTTAGAGACGTATCAAGGTTACCTAGACTTGATGTAATCATAGCTCCTATGGCACATATGGGTATCTCTCGTACATGCATAAGCTTCACCTTGAAAGGTGGTTCGCTTTCTTGAAATGACTATCATATATGCATGCCGTGTGATGGCTCGTAGATGAGGCTTTGACCCCCGTCTTTGAAGCTCACCATGACACACATGGGTCACATAGTCCATCGGCTCACTCATCCGAGCATGCTCTAACCTCATCAAGGGATAACCTATTGAACCCTTATTAGATAGTTTTCTATGCCCAGGTAACATATGTTTTTCTCAACCAGCTGGCCT